TTCCCCTGAATGGAAAGACAAGGAGATGAATGGAATGACCATGCTGTGACATTAGCAAGAAGAGAGTGGTGAATGGCAAGCAGTGGTGGTTTAAGAGCCACCTACAGTGTGGCTCTTCTGTTTTCTCACAGACACTTAGGACAGAATCCAGACCCCATGAGTCCTCACATTGTGAGTGTGTGAAAAATTTTCAATCCCCACAATGTGAGTAATACCATCAATACAATCAATCAGTATAGGGCAAATCATCAGTCATCTGCCAGTCAGTACGCAGGTAAATCAATCAGTCAATAACATAAGCAACAGCACCGAGCCCTGATGACCCAGACCAGACTGGGAACTGGATGCTATAATGGTGGGTGACTGATGGGCTGTTACTGTAAATGACAACTGTTTCTTCATGCTCAGCTGAGATGTAAAGAGCAGAGCAGGCATTACTCTACTCTGCATTTTCCCCACTGTCTACAAATCCCATGAAAACACTAAAAGGAAAAATGTGTTACTCCATTTTCTCATGCTCTTGCCAACCTTATCTTATAACATTCTTATAAACAGAGATTGATATTTGATTCTATAATTTCTTCTCTATAGCAGTTGTTTCCTTCACCCCCATTCTGTGTTGTTCATCTGTTCTGGAGTTGAAGCAGTGAACTAAATCAAGTCAGAAGTACTTATAATCCAACATCTCCCTGCATATTTCCAAGCATACAATACATTTAGCGACGCATTCCACACATATTTACCTAATGGTGCACACACAAATGGAACATATACCGTTAAATGCCCAATGCAGCCGTTACACACTTTGACATACAGTACATACAGTGGAGAACCACACACCTGCAAGTGGTACTGTAAAGACACACACACAGACACACACACATAGAGTGAATGCCTGCACAAGCATAATACTCACTGACCTAATCCATAATTTACACCTTTCTGCCAGGCTATTCTCTGCACTGGCGCCAGCAGGGAACACCAGCTACTGGAAGAATAGACAAGTGGGAACACTGCGTCCTTCTGATATGGACACTTTACATGGATACGTGCACACAACACACATTCACGCACACAAAGTGAACTTCCTAGATTTGATTTATTTATTTATTTTTGTCTCACCTGCACCCTAAAGAGTTGACTAGACCCTCACCCTTGCATTTCTTAAACACAGGGCTGTTTTCTGTTTTCAGCGCCAGTTGTTTGTATTCTCTAAGAGCTCATGCACATGTTAATGAATTGGTAATGTTATGGCAATAAATGAAGGATGACTAGTGGTCATTCACAGACTAGATGTCCTGAGGGCAAAGTGTGACATCAGCCTCTAAGCGTCTCCACATAAAACATGTACACATCTCAGTGAAACACAACTATACTGTACGTGCTACTGTGCATACACCCAGTCATGTACCTGGACTGGTCAGGTGGCTCAAACACTGCAGTATGTTTTCTGACTTATCCCAACCAATGCTGAGTGCACACATCGGAATCAAATATAAAATAAACTGGTGCCTCTGATAAACTAGGTGCTTTCATAATGTGCGCAAACACTCAAAAAGAAAATAAAATCAATACCTTTTCCGTGCCTTTTTAAAAGCAGCCAAAACAGAGTCAGTAAATAGCCTGTATTTCTAGAACCACTTTGCCCATGTTGTTGGATGAGAGAGAGGGTGCAATATTTTAAAAAGGAGGAGCTGAAAATTGGGAGAGATGTTGTTGGTCATAGAAGACCTGCATATATGTGAGAGGTCTTTCCTGGAAATTTCACTGAATAGTTGTGTTGATGCGGGGATTTCAGAGAAATTGGCGTGGTACCTTTTAGAGACATATACCTCAAACCTGGCAAACATGGGATTCACGTAGAAAAACAAAGACTGTCTGCCTGTTCTTCTCATTCTTTCAGTGCTGTTATCCCAAGTGCCAAACATGTGGCAGAGTCCTACTATTTCAAATGTCAATACTTCTGCCTACACTTTGGCTGAAGTGATAAACACAGTATTATACTTCGTAGTATTTGATCATTTAACAGTCTGTCTGTTCTTTATATGATTAGACCACTGCTGACTATTAACTAGCAGAAACCAAAACACACCAGACCATTCATTACTGAGTCCCCCCCCACACACACTTCCTTCATCCTTTCCTTTTTATTTGATCCATTAGGTCTGCTAATCCTGCATAAAACTGTCTGTAATGCAGCTAACTGAAAAGTATTCTGGGACACAGAGTTGTTCACATCTCTTCAACAAACTCATAATAATCCTGTTCCAGACAACACCCCAAATTACTGAAGCAAGGAACCAAAAGAGAAGTGTCTATCTTTCCATAATTCAACTCAGAACCAAAAAAGAAGTGTCTATCTTTCCATAATTCAACAGTGACAGTGAACATACATAGGCAACAGCTTCTCTGCCACTGTTTCAGAGATAATATCAGACACATCAGGATCACGACTACCAAGACTGTACAACTCTTGGTTTGATGTATCACCAGTGAAAATGATGATGTTGGAACAACAGTGAGAAATGTTTAAAAGGGGGTCATGTGATGGAGTCAGTAACATAAAATCCTTGCAGATGAATAAAAACTGCAGCTCTGTAGCACAGACGTACTTGATGTTTGAGTGTCTGTTAACACTAAAACCCATGTGCATCACCATTGGTATGCATGCTGATTTGTGTACGTATGATCACATGCTAATCCATGGACAGTGTGAAAAGAAACACATTTATTGAACAATATTCCAAAAAACAGCATTTCCATAATTATTGCTGTCCCAAACCCAAACTCATATGTAGAAAATCTGCAGCAAGCGACCTTGAAACCTTCCTTCTAACATGCTCAGTGTCACACTGGTGCCTGAAATGAATGAAAATAATATTTTATTTTAAAATTTTACAGAAGTAATTGGCTCCCTTTATCGCTGAAACAAAATTATAGATATACAAACAAAAGAATGTATTAACTTTAGCAATTGATATGTTTGTGTTGTCAGATTAGAGATAAAATGCAAATGAATCATCCACATCTGACATATGGATAAATTTGATATTCCTCGCTCTCAAGAACCCACGGCAATACATAGAGCTAAACTGCTCCTGTTCATTTTCCTAATTCAGTATCTCACAAACCATCTCAATGAAGAACAAACAATGCTACAGTAAAAGCATTAAATGAGTTTTTATCTCCAGTCTTGACATAACTGTGTGTAGGTACACTGGTGCAGAGAATCTAGTTGAACCCAAGAGCTGCAGTTTCCTTCCAGAAAAAGGAAAATAAAGAGGAAAAGAGAAGCAGCGTCACTGTATGATCAGACTTTCTGCATATGACTCTGACAGAACAAGAGAGAGGGCAGATTGTGTGTCTGATACTAGGACAATGAGCACAGCGAACAAAGGGGAGCAGGTAATGATGAGATGACGTCCTACAGGAAGCAATGGTTTTCTGGATTTTTCTTCCAAGGAGCCATGTTTTTAGAAGACTTAAATTTTTGGATCAGAACTACTGACGATTTGGATCAGAATATTTTTATACTGAATATGACTACTACTGGAATCCATTGCGACATGAACTCAAGATGATGATCAAAACTCCAGCCATTCCATTCTCCATGAAGGAGCAAACTCTATAAAGCCACCCTTTGTTCCTATCCACTTGTTAAGTGGTGACGTAAAATTCTGTTTTCAGGTCCAAACTTCGGTTCATTGTCCTCCTCTCCTGATGTCACGGTGTTGTTTTCCCCATAGTATCAATAGATCTGAATCATAAAAAACAGGTCAGCTGTCATTTTACCACTTTCCTTGCAAAGGGAAGGAGAAAAAGAAATGGCTACAGTTGATTACATAAGCTACAGTCTTCTTAAATTAATAAAAATAAAGCTTCTAAAATTAGAAAAGTTAATTAAAAGCTTGTAATGTAACGTTAGCTAGCTAGTTAGCATGAAGTTAATGTAAACATTATATAGTGACACATTTTACACTGATGAAAGTAATAGTAAAAATGGCAAACTATTACAAATTAATTAGACATTTAACTTGATGTATATAATGAAATATACAGCTTTATATTGGAATAAATTTACTATGACAAGTAATAAAGATTGACTATTATGCCACCAGGCAGAACGGCAACACTGTCTATTTGAATCTTAAGAATGTAGTCAGGTTTTTTGCTCTCTGTGATGCCTCATTAAATAATAATAATAATCAAAAGATGTTATTTTGTAGAGGGTGACAGGTTCCGCCATTTGAGTTCGGGGGAGTTTGGACCCAGAAATGCAATGTTATATCACACTTAACAAGCGGATAGGACAGAATGTTTTAAATGAAGATCATTGCTCACACTGGGCGAATGAAAAACACTGCTATTAAGAGTGGAGAGCAGCAAGGCATGACATACACTCACCACATCCCTACATGTGAACAGGGCTTCCAGTGAGCCCCCCTGCCCCCCTCACTGTTTTAGATGGCGGCCCCTGCACCGAATGGAGAAAAGTTGAGATGTCCCCTCTGGAAAATAAAGGAGGGAGTGAGAGTAACAACCAGGCTCATTAGAATCAAAGGGAAAGAAGGGAATAGGGAGTCATCTGGGTATCTGGGTACAAGAGAGCAGTATAATAATTCACATTGTTGGAGCAACAGACTGTGACGTTAGCAGCTGAAGACATTTAGTTAACCTGAGGATTGTGAAGTGGGCACACAGTGTGCCTTCACATCTATAAAGGTGGTTTCTTATGAATGATGTGTCCTGAGCTGTTTTGAAAGTGGAACACTTTGTACTTTGCTTAATCTTGTGCTTCATGCGCCACTGACAGTGGCATTCACACGGAGTGATGCAGTCCAGGATAAATCTAAAGCCATGTGGAGAAACGTTTTTTGAATGTAGGATGAACAATCTACATTCTGGGATACATTATGCAGTTACACATGAACTATAAAGGAGAGCATTTACAGTGATTACATATCTCTTACCTCATATGTAACCTGCTTTATACTAAAATGACTTCCAGGTGAAACCAATGTAAGGAGGGAACAACTGCACAGTAAAGGCTACAGTGGCAACATCTGTAGCTCAGTTACTGTCAGGACAGCTGACGGCCTGAATGCTTCCTGCTGGTTCACTGCTCAGCCTGTAGACATGATGTTGGTAACAGCAGAGAGGGAGAGAGTGTGTGCACACATGTGTGTGTATGTGTCATGGCTGTTCTTCATCAGTCACATTGCTAATATCAGTGCTGAAAGAAGCACTCAGATCCTTTACTTAAGTAAAAGCAGCAATACAACAGTGTAAAAATAAAGTTATGCATTCAAAATCTTACTTAAGTAAAAGTACAAAAATATTAGCATCAAAACATACTTACAGTACTAAAAGTAAAAGTAGTCATTATGCAGAATGGCACATTTTACATTCCTATATATCCTATTACTATATTATAATTACTGATGCATTATTGTGTACATCACATTTAATGTTGCAGCTGGTAAAGGGGCCACTAGTTTTAACTAGCTTATATTCATTTAATTTGAATTACTGCTGAACAGCTTGTGAATTTTACACCACTGATCAATGAGGTCTTATAATTATACAGTTAGTTTTGTATTAATTTGGTTCTCAAAAGTAACTAGTAAATAAAGTTATAAAATAAATGTAGTGAAGTAAAAAGTACATTATTTGCCTCAAAAAAAGTCAGAGTATGAAGTAACACAAAATGAAAATACTCAAAGTACAGATGACTCAAACTTCTACTTAAGTACAGTACTTGAGTACATGTACTCAGTTACTTTCCACCACTGGTTACAGTTTTTCTGAATTGCTAAAACAATAAACCCCATTCTCTGAACCAAATTCTCAATAGCCTAAACCAATTTATCGAATAAATTACTCTTTCTGCAAAACCTTAAACCAGTTTAGGCAGTTAGACACTGTTAGCAAATCTCATGCACTCTTTATGCTAAACTCTAAACACATTCTCACTCACTAAAACACAATTCGCACTGTGATGAACTTGTGTTGCAAAACACTAAACAGAGGACAGCAGAACTTACACACAACTTAAACAGTTGTCATCGTTTACACACAACGATTCAAGATTGGTCACACTTGTTTCTAATTATGTGATGAGAAGGTACAAATCATAAGCCAGTTCAAAGTGCACAGATGACACGGGTACATCCATCAACTATGGATAACAATATGACAGGTAGATGAAAATGAGGTGTTGGACAAAAAGGACGAGGAAGAGTAAGACCTTCCACCATACAGCACTTTCCTCAAACCAACAAAAGAGTTTTGCTCTGCATGGCGGTGAAAAGTCTATGACCAAAACCCATATACCAGGTAAAGTCTCTTACAGCCAATGGAACTGGCCTGTGGTGACATAGACGTGCAGTCTTGTCAAGGCTGGATCCGCCACACCAGAGGGTTTTTTGCCCGTTGCCTGGCAAAAGACAACATTGCCTGCGACACAGATTAAGCCATCGGGCAAGGCACAGCTGAAAGACATGATCCTGAGGCAGAATAATCTTTCTGATGTGTTTTTCTTCTTCCTCTTCTTTTTTGATCGTAACATGGTTTTTGGTAAATTCACTATACAATAAACTTTTTTTTGTTGTAACTACATGTCCTGGATGCTGTGTTTTCATTTTTTGGTGTAGTGACTAATGAATGATCTACAATGTGTATATGATTGACTCATTTGTGTATGATCTGAAAGTACTGTTTGATTTTGAGTGCTGGTGAAATGGTTTTGAAGCAATTGCTTGATTTTGCCAGACGAGTCAGAGGTTTTGTGAATTTAGGTTGAGTATTTGGATTTGTGTTTAAGGTTTTGAGAAAATGAGTGGTGGTTTCAGGAAACGTGTTTTAGCAATTCAGAAAAACTGTAATATAATCATTGTTCCTTTGGCCACATTTTACAAACACAACTGCACTTGTGCACCTCATTTATATGTGCAGCCGATGCTTGGTGGCTGTATATCTACATAATAACCTTTGATTGATTCTACCTTTCTCTGAGAGCCTGCATTTTAAAGATCAGCATAGCCAATCTCACCCCACATACGCTGCTATTAACATGCATGTTTGTAATAAATGCTGTTAAACACAGTATTTATGGTCAGTGACATTTCATACTTTTTCGGCTGTGTTACAATACAAAGAGAAACACCCTCCTGTACATCCTGAATGGAGGTTAATGGGTCGGCTCCCTTTTCTCCTTCTTTCCCTCTCTCTCACTGATAGACAAAAAAGTTAGTTTTGCATGTGTGAAGACAAAAAATGTAATAAATTGCTCTAAATAAATTTTAATTAAACTCCCAGGTAATTACTAACATTTTTTGATATACACAAGAATATTTCACACACAAAAGACACAAAAAAGAGTGTAAAAAGAGCCACATGTGAGACGTTCTGTCATAGCCAGTGACATACAAATACTGGCTGGAATGACAGCAGATTGTCTCTGGCTGCTGAAACAGGTCTCAGAGTGTAAAGGACAAATCCTATTGAGTACCAGTTTTTTACTGCAGTGAAGGCATAGCACATGATAATCATCATGAGTTTATATCTCTTGCGTGACTGGTTGTGACTGGCAATTCTTATATGCTGCATCAATCATTTCAGTGTGATCAAGCTGGTAAGGCCCTTAATCATTAAATTATTAAGGATTTCTAAAAAATACATGTGTTTACTAGTTTGTAGTATGTCTCAAATGTCAAGATTTTTTTTTTTTTGTTCAACATGGTTTTCTCTCTTATCAATCCCATATAATGAGTCTGTGTGCCTGTGTGTGCTCCTGCATGAGAGCATGTACTGCATGTAAGCTTGTGTTTATGCATGTATGACATTAAATTCATTAAATTCAGCCCTGTAACCATACATCTGTCTACAGAGCCAGAGGAAGCTCACATGTCAAGAGTGATACATGCAGTTTAAAGAAGGCCACTTTCGGTCCTTTCAAAATATCAACAAACTGAAAACAAATTACAGACCTGCTACAGTATGGTTGTGACTGTGTGTGATAGCATGGCTGCATGTGTGTACGCATGTGTGCCATTCACAGATCAGCCAGATAAGGTCTGTGTAAGTTAGGTTACAACAAAAACAAATGGTACCATCAGTGTAAAGCATCATAGAGTTCCATTTTCTATTCAATTAAAGTTATACTTGTGATAATATTATACATTATATTTGTGCAACTGTCACAGTGGTTGTGCTTTCAAGTGTTTGTGTGTTTACCTGAGTATGATGGCTGTCCATGTGTCTGTGCACAGAGGTGGAGCTGGAGGAGTTTGACTTGCTGTGACTTGCATCCTCCAGCGACCCTGAACACACAATATCAAAAGCATGTTACAAGGCACAGGCATCTCATTGGAAGGCTTCCTGCACACAGAGTGCTGAAAGTGCTCTAGAGCAGACTTTTTAAAAGGCCCTAAACTTAACATATTCATAACAAAATGTTGGTTCACAGAAATCTGTGGTATGAATAAAAAAAAAAGTCACTGAATTCAAAAAAGTTAAACGCACAGAGACACAAAGAGATACAGAAATGTGTTATGTGAAATAACCACAGCTGTTCTAACTTTGGCAGAAAATTGTGAGTTCACACTGAGCCCCATACTTTTAGTAAAATGCTGCTTGAGAAATTAGTTTTTGGGTTTTTAAAAGTTGGATTGTCAGTGTTTTACACCGATGGAACCATCTCACTATAAGATAATGAGCAAGTTATATTCAGTTATACCACAGTAAATTTTAATCTTGTTCTGAAGATAATTTTTGTTTATGTATTTTTACCACAAGCAGAATTCACTGAATGATAGTACAGATGTTTACTGTAACAAAGCAAATCCAGGTTCTCTCATTACCCTCTTTATACAGTGATTATGCAACTTGAGATAAATTTCTGTTCAATGTTAAACATCTACGGTAAAACTGTAATGGATACACCTGTTAACCCTGCAAAGTGAACCTTGTATTATGTGTCCAGATGTAGTAAAGATGATCACAGCTTTGTTCTTTAATGAAATACTTACTCACATATATTGATACAGACTGTATTAATGTCTTTGTGGGGTCCTTGATCTCTGTAAAGATGTTCAAAATGAACTCAGCCTGGAATGACTATTCATTTGCACCTGTACATGTGTGCGCTCTTGGATTATCTTATTCTATATCTGTAATATTTACTTTTTTCAATGGTTAAAGGACATGTTTGTATCATCAGTAATTATTAATTCTAACAGTAAAAACTCAATAGATGGCTGTTACCGTTGGATATCTGGTTGCCGTTCTCTATGGGGGCGGGGCTTGAGGAGTGAGGAGAGG